CTGTATGTGTCAATAACATTTTTTCTGATACAACACTTGTTAAATCTGGCGTTCCCCAAGATAGTTATATTGCGCCATTGCTTTTTCTATTATATAAATGTTATCACCAATGTGGTACTAAATTCTATTATTTATCTTTGGGCTGATGATTGCGAAATTTATTATTCTCATGGTGCAACAGATAATCTATTTCCACTACAGTAGGACCACAACAGAATAGCCAATTGGCTATAGGACAGACAAATTATTTTTTTTTCAAAAGTGTAGCGTCCTTCATATTAATTCCAAAGGTTTCGATTTTCCTAATCTTTTTATTAATGGTAATATAATCCGTAGAGTCTCACACATTTCCGATCTTGGAATAATTATGGGTGAAAATCTCGATTTCGACCTTCACTGCAGAACCATCGTAAAGAAATCCTCAAAGATACTAAATTTAATTTTTCGTTCGTTTAAGAACAAAATGAAGATTTTCCTCTCAAAATGTAAAAAGTTCGTTCGGCCACTTCTTGATTACAATGCTACATGTTACTCCCCGAGATATTGTAAATCAAGTAAAATAATTGGAGGACTCCAAAAATATTTTATATGATGCCTCTCTCATAATTGCAATTTTAATTATAAAAAGAACTTCTAAAACTTAACTTGGATTTTCTTTCAGTAAGTCGTATTAAACAAGATTTAATTTATACTTATAAGATTCTGTATGGTTATGTTAAGCAAGATTGTTCAAAATATTATAATTTTAGGTTAAATTTGAATCCAACAAGAACAAATGGACTAAAATTACTAAAATATATATGTAAAACTAAATTAAGGAATCATGATTTATTTATTAGTATAATTAATTACAGGAATAAATTACCGAACGATATAGCTTGTGCCCCATCCTTAGCAATCTTTAAAAAAGATTAGATAATATCATTTATGATATTATTTAAAAATTTAAAATTCAAATCATGCAGGAAGTATGAAATCTCGATTTTTACCATCCGATTATATATAATACAGTTACTTCGAATTGTACTATATTATATTATTCTGCAATATTCTATTTCCTGTCTATTTCCTCTTTAAACTGTTAATTTTTGTCATATTTTCTATTTTTCTTATTATTAAATTTTATTGTTTTTTTTTAAACTGTTGTTATTTATACAAGCATATGGCGCTGTCGCACTGCTTGGCTGGTTTTCAATAAATAAATAAGTAAATAAATGAATAAAACAGTCCAAAACTTTGTTGAAAATAAAAACGCAAAATCAATAATAAATACAAAAAATTATAAATCTCGTTTCAGCGAAACAGAAAATGAATACCTTTGCTGTAAAACTCCTCGACACCTAGCAACTCATCACGAATTTCACACCCCAAAGAGAGTGGAAAATTGCCTGTTTTCATTAATTCATTAATAGAATGAGCGCAGGCTCGTAATGATGTCAATTCTTCGGCATGCATTGTGATCATTTTCCTGAAGGTATAATTGCTTTTCGAATATTTCACGCCCTTTTTCTTCGCGAAATTATCGTAAAAAATGAAGGAAATGAAAACTAATACAGAATTTAACCGAAAAAATCGAAAAATCGAAAACTATGTGAGAACTGTGTTCTATTATATTGAATGTCAAAGAAATAGATTAAAATTTTCTTCTTAAAAGAAAGTAAAAATCGTACTCTAACTGTTTCTGACGACCTTCGAGCAATCGCTTTTGTTCATTACTCAAATATAACAAATCCGTGACGTAACGAACCAGTGATTTATGATCCAAATTATATACCTGAAAAACAATAAAAACTTTATTTATTTAACAATGAAAATAAGATGAAAATTCTAAAAATTCAAATGTGAAATAAATTAGCACCAAAAGAAAAGTGATTAATCTGGTAATGAACAAAAACATCAAATTTACTATTCCTTTCATTATATAAATAGGCCAGATAAGCCACAGGTTGGGTTATTAATTATAGTTCGGTTTTCTTTTTACTTTCTGGTTATATACTGCTGTTGTTGCGAATTTGAAGTTGTGAATTAGCCGCAGGTCTTATATAATTATGATTTCTATCTTTCCTCAAACATTATGCGTCGATGTATGTATTGACGGATTAAATAAAATATTATTCCTTTTAAAAGCACCGAAATATTAACATTAAAATAAAATACAAAATTAAAATAAAAATAACAAATTCTGGCGGTGGGATTGCACGAATTCGACGTTCAACCTGAGAAGGCGACAACCTCGGACGTACACACCCGAAAGACGCGAAATGTGTTATTTCATGATCTGAGTTTAACCGTTCATCATTTTTTTCATTATTTTGCGAAGCAGATCCAGACAATATTTCTTCACATTCATGTTCACACTCATATAAACTGATTCCATGTTCACAACTTTCCTCATTATTTGTTTGCCTAAAATTAAACATTGTTCACAATCTATGCAAATAAAAATAATTAGAAAATACCAGATTAAATCAATTTTATCAAAACTAACAAGTGGTGTGAAGTGAAACCGTCATCATCGATAATCTCACCATCTTCACTTCCTTCATCGTCGTGTGCTTCATTGTACATTAATGATTTGCTACAAAAAATGGGTAAAATATTAATTTACTATTAAAACATTCCACCTCCTTTTAAATTCATGTTCAAATGGCATGAAACAACAATGAAAGATTATTTAGAAGTTTTTAATGCAATCAAAAAATACTTATTACTATAATAATATAATATAATAATATAATATAATATATAATTAATTAATATGTAACTAATTAATATATAATTAATATAATATAATAAAGGCTGTTTTTTTAAAATAAGATATTATTTCTCCCATCCTAATTGCTTATGTAAACGTAAAATTAATTATAAAAAATAAAACAACAGAAATAATATGACAATGACTTTAATAGCACGAAGGCATTAAGCTCTGGCGCTTTTACTGTAAATTCATTACAATAAGTTATAAGAAAATAAAAATAGCGCACTTGCTTGGTGAAGATGAATTATCCTGTTCCCTTAAATCCACTTTAGGTTGGTTATCCGTAGGATGGTTATTGTTCGAGCTTTCATCGAGTTTAGAATTTGTTGTAAATGCTGTTATTGCGTCGATGACTATTTCTGGAGCTGAAGGAGAACTCACATCTATATCTTTTAAAACAATAACTGTTTTGTTTGCACTTCCTTTAGTAACATGAATCTCACTAGAAACACCGATCGATTTGTTACCATTCATTTCTAGCTCAGATTCTTCGTGTTTCTCCTTTCCCATAACATATGTCAAACTTTCCAATGTTCTTCGATCATCATTTGACATAACTGGTGCCTTACAAACACTATCGGCCTACAAGCACTTTTACGAATTAACCGAAAAAAACACGGCAAGAATTAACAGTTTAAATGGAATATCAACCAGTAACCAAAAAGAAGCCTCTTTTCCGAATATTCTTAATCAGGCTGGGTATTTCAGACAGTGAAAATATTGCGAAAACGTGAAGAAAATGAACTCATTAATCCACATTTTACCTAACACCAAAGATAGTGTAAAAACGCTGCAAAAAGAAAAAAAACCATATAAAAATGGAATTTCTGCAATTACAATTTCTCAAATCGTTGAATTAAAAATTAAAAGTTAAAATAATATTTACGCTTCTTAAACTTACAGTTTACTTCAAATGCTAAGAAATATATAAATTTTATACGTATATTTTCAAATAACATTAAAGAAGGAAAAAACATAAATCGAACTCGGTTTAAATGCTCGAATACACACAGCATTTTGCACTTAAACCTACCTTAAGTAAGCAAGTAAAAGCTTTTTATGCCAAAAAAGATAAGTTAAATCTTAAAAATTTTTTTGGAAATATTTTTCAAAAAACTATTCAAATTCTTTTCTTTGTGAATTTAAAAAAAATCAAATGCCTTCCCTTAGAAAAGAATTAGAAAATTTGCTTCTTAAATAATATTTGAGAAAACAATCGAAATAAAATCACCAAAAAAAGTGCAAACGTTCAATAATACAACGAATCCTATATAGACGTTTCATAGGAAAACTGAATTTATTAAGAAAAAAATTTGTATCGAAATCAAATTTTCGTTTTAAGAATCGAATTTTTGTTTCGTCGATGACTCAACTTATCTGAATAAGTGGTTCACAAAGATATTTTCACTCGAAATCATTTTGTTGGAAGTTTTGTTGCTGAAAGGTATGTTGGAAGTTGGTAGGCAAAAGGCGTGTTGGAAGTGGTGTGTGGCCTCACACAGAATTTTTCTACCTAATGTTCAACAACAAAACATTTAATCTCGCTAAGATATAATTATAAAAATAAAAAATAAAATTTTTGGTTTTCTTACAGCTTTCACAAATACCGGAATTTGGCAAAAGTTGTGCCTATTACTGGTCTAGGGAATCAGATGAAGAATCACGATTCTTAAAGCATATTTCTTTCTGTGAAAATAAAATGGGGGAGGGGGAATTCGACGACAGAAACGACTTGGAAAGACTGCGGATAGCCAGCCAATGGAAAGGCCTGACGGCAACCCTATAATATTCAACTATACGGTCGACTCGATAATGTACAAGGTCTTAAGAAGGTTAGTTGCGGTGCGATCCTGAGAGTCAGTCATAGATAAGAAGAGTCGTTAATCCTCAAACACCCATACATATACTTGCACATACATTTCATGCTTTAGGTAGTGCAAAGAATGATAATGTATGATTGCCCTTACAAATTCCATCTGAAATGGATGCATCCCAGTCTGTTTGACGCTTCTTGCTCTTGGTGTATAATTAAGGCTGTAAAGAAATTATATTTGTGGGTTTCTTGGTGCAAATATTCATTCAGCTATTCACAGCTTTAAAGTGTGATATAATATAAAAAGCAATTATTAAAATCTGCGTGAAATGTACGATTTATTGTTGAGCTGCGAGTCTTCACGCTGAAGATATTTCTGCGTGAATTATGGGTGAGTGGTGTGCTGCGATGATAACGAATCAGGTCACTTCCGATTTTTCCGTAATTACAACATGTGAATCCTCTATGCATCCTTATATATAGCTTATACAATAGAAATCTAGGTCATAAATCATAGAAATTGAATAATACGAGGGTTAAATAGATGCTTTAAAATTCGATTGATGCATATTCCAATTAAACACAAACGGCAATTTTAATATTTATAAAAAACCAAACAATTCCTTTTATTGCATTAGTTCGTGGATTATATATGTTGTGGGTTCATAAAGCAAGACCCCCTACCCGGTGCTACTTTCCCAGGTGGCCGTGGTCATGTAAAAATGATGAGGCTATCCTATCAAAATTACCAGAAAATTTTCAGTATCACTGAACAATATTTTTCTTATGCTTGAAAATTTCAGAGTCATTTCAACTTATGATGTTTGAAATCCTTGTTATACTTTCTCATGAATTATACCCAGAAGTTAGTGGAATTACATGGACCGGACAATACCTAATATAATAAATATGCTGGTAGCTAGACAGTATAATATCAAATAGTATAATATACAAATAGTATAATATCAAATGTTTTAAATATGAAAGAAAATCAGTCAAATCTGTTAAAAAAAAAATTTTAATTTAAATTCCTTCCTCACCCTCTGTAGGTTGTAAAGGTAAATCTCAACCTCGAGTTCTCTACCAGAGGCCTGGGAGATTGCGGGTTCTGCGCATTATCTTAGCAGTTTCTAATAGTGCGCTCTTCTGAACAGAGATCTCTGATGTTGTACCTGGAGTTTGCTTGGAATCATTTTTCTAGTTTAGTGGTCACAGTTCCGATTGCTCCAATTATCACTGGAATTGGTTTGGCCTTTACTTTTCATATCTTTATTAGGTCATTTTTCAGCCTTTGGGTTTTAATTTTTTCTTCTCATATTCCTTCTTTCTGACGTGCCGCTTGGTATTTTATTGAATCATTTGTATTTTATTGAATCACTCACCAATCATCAGTGTTGATTTCTGATTCTTGTCTATTACTGTGATTGATTCTGGTTGATTGGCCAGTACTTATTTGCTTATTTGAATGGAGAGTACCACAGAACCTTTGTCTTATTATTCTCTATGATTTTCTGATAAATCTCCCACTTAGTCTTGGGAGGATCTAAGCCATATAGTGAGCAGATGTTCCTGTAGATGATGCCAGCTACTTGGTTGTGTCTTTCAATATATGTTGATATTCCTACTTGTATTTCACATCCTGCTACTATGTGTTGGACTGTTTCTGGGGAAATTATAGACTACAAGTAGAGTTCTGTCCAGCGTAGTAGATCTTTGCTTTGATGTGGTGCTTAGTGCCTGTTCCTATGTTGCTATAAACGTTAGTATTCCTTCAGTATTGCCTTTTAGTCCGGTTTTCTTCAACCACTTCTTCTTTTTCGAACACCTCTCATCATTACTGGTTAGGCTGGCTCCAACGGCTACAAGGTTAAGACGCTTCCAAGCGGTGCGGTCTGATGCCATTGTCGACAGTAATGGAAGCCATTCCTTTTTCCATCGTCTAATTCCATATTGCTGGTCCACCTATACGTTCAAAATCTTTTTTCACCGTATCAGTCCAGGTCTTGATTGGCCCACCTTGCTTTTGACGCCATCACACGGTTTAGCAATTGACGAAATATGCGTCAACTCCTGTGGTGAACGATGAAGAATGTGCCCTAACCAGCGAAGGCTGCGCTTTGTGATAATATTATTTATGCAAGTGGTATTTGAACGAAGGTGGATACGATCTTGTGAGATTTTATCCACTCGGCGAAGCCGTAAAATATACCTTAGACAAGAGTGGTCAAAGGCAAATAAGTTCTTAATATCCTCCACTCTCATTGGCCATGTCTCAGAATCATATAATAAGATCAAACGGATCACGGCAATATAGATGCGGACTTTTGTTTTAATGGTGATTTCACGACGATTCCATAAAGGTTTCGTCAACCGGAAGAACGCATTTCTAGCTGCCGTGATCCGAGTTGTAATATCATTTTTTGCCTATCCATTTGGTATTAGAGTGGACCCAAAGGTTCCATGGGCCTTGCTGCTTTCGTTGTAAATCTTCGAAGCACCCGCTAGTCAGAATCACCTGACATTCGTGCTTTGGGAACTTTTCCAAACAACTGGACCGTTGCTTCCGATACTCAAGGACGCTCTTCCTACTAGGATACCCTAGCGTGAAAGTGGCTGATTTTCGGAGACATTCCTTCAGTTTGGACCAGTATTCATTTGCCGTTCCAGAAAAATCACTGAAATTTATATCATTGAGATGCTTCAATAATTCGGTTTGAAATGCGCTCACTGTCCTCGAATTTTTTAGTTTGAGATAGTTGAAGGATCTTGGGGGATGTTGCTTTCTGCGAGTTGCCAATTTTATGCGGATCTTGGTTCGAACCATAACATGGTCAGATCCAAGAAGATTGCCGTTTTAGCTCCGCGATAGGAACGACTATCTAGTACGGAACTCTTCCAGCGGCGACTGACTAAGATATAATCAATCTCCAACCACTGGTAGGATTTCAACGGCAGCTACCCCATCTACTTGTCGTTGGTGCAATCCATGCAGGACCTTGCTTTGTCATGGCATTTCCTCTGCTTGATCGTTTTTCAATGTTTGTGCATATTTCAGACATTTTCTCAGCAATTCATGGTGCCATCTTACTGACATATTTCTAAATGCTTCGAGTTTCGTTCAAGATAATGGCTTTAACATTCACCTTACTTTTTCCCCACCCTTCTTTCTGGCTGGTATATAGCCTTTGGGTATTGGATTTGGAATGGGAATCATCTATTGTAGGAGTTTTCTGGTCATTAGTCTCCATGTCTTCCTTTGTCCATCTTACAATGCCAGCTGCGTACCTGATGACTGGCAGAGCGTACATATTTAGAAATGTGGACATATATGGAATATTTGTAATGTATGGATATACATACATTTATTCAACATCAAAACAAGGATCTACCATACAAGATAGGACTTACAGAACGTGCAAAACGCCCCAGAAATAGTTAAACGCATGATCGCAAGATGTAAAATGCAGTAGGAACAACACATATTGAAAGGCATAATTAAATAGCTAGCATCATCTACAGGAACATCTGCTCGAGATATATATATGGCTTAGATCCTCCTAAGATTAAGTGGGAGACTCCTCAGAGAATCGTAAAGAATAATGCAAAGTTTCCATAGGACTTCCTTATTCAAACAGACAAACAAATACTGACCAATCAACCAGATATCGCAATAATAGACAAGAATCAGAAATCAGCACTGGTGATTGGTGATTGATTCAACAATACCAAGCGACACGACAGA